GTCCCGCGTCTCCATGGAGTGAGTGCGGGGGCGGCGGGGGAGCGGGGCCCGCGGCCCGGCGGGGCGTAGCTCCCCGCAGCGGGAGCCGCCGCGGGTCTGGGCCTGCCCTGCCGCGGAAAGGGCCCAGCGCCGCCCGGGGGCTGCCGAGGGGTCCCCGCCGCGACTGCAGCACCACCCCCCCCCAGTGCCGCACCTCCCGCCACACGGCCTCTTGCCGCCTCCTTCTGGGCTGCAGCTTGCCTGGTTAGCTGAGGGGTGGGAAGCCGAGGTGCCAGATAGCGCCCTTTGGGCCGGGGGAAGGGGCTTCTGAATCAGGCAGACTTTTAAGAGGGCTGCGAGGGCACTAATTTAAGTACGAGCTTTGCTTGGCTCCTCTTTCTGAGTGTTAGTGAGGCTCAGCCTTCCCAGGGACAGGTTTAGGAAGAAAGAAGCGCTTATGAAAATCATCCAGAGAAAACGAGGTGATGTCCAGGTGTTTGTCAGGAGTCTTTCATCCTGACCGATCTGGTTGTACACACTAAGGCCCACAAGCCTGTGGCAGGTCCTGAAAAGGTTAGAAAATGCTATTCAGAAGATCAGAAAGGGTTCTCAGCTTAGGCAGTGAGAAACCCTACCCACTTTTGCTGAATACAGAACGTATCTGGGATTGAGGCTACAGAGGACAAAATATTTGTCATTGTTAGTTTATGGATAATGAATTGCTGTAGCAGTGTGTGATCTATGTTGAGTTTATACTTTTGTGCAGTAAAGCTACCTTGGTTAAAAGGAGAAGACGTATTTATTCTAGAGTATCAACCAGTCTAGAAATACTCTGGCTCTGTTTTATTTTATTTACGTATTTATACTTTTCCTTCTTTCTTTCCCCAAAATGTTTTTGTATTGCCTAGAATGACAAAAGTGGATATCAAGAATTACCTTGAAAAAATATACAATGTGCCAGTGGCTGCTGTGAGGACCAGGATACAGTATGGTAAGTGCAGTTGAGTAATCCAGAGGGATGAATACAGCATCCCTGCGCAGCCAGAATAGACTTTTCCTCTCAAAAGGTCCATTAGATTTCAGAAACTTTGGTTCCAGGTGCTTAGCTGATGATGTCTATGAGCTTAGTTGTTTATTTGTCCCTTCAAATGAATAGCACCACTTCATATTTCAATACTTTGATTAGATTATGACATGTTTAGTTTTAAAAAGAAAAATCGGAATTTAAAAAGCCCTATCATCTTGACAGTTATCTAGCTTGTGCTTTGTGCTTTTGTAATTGGTACCATTTCTCCTTGAAGATCGGTGGGTGTCTCATTTCAGAAGCAACTGCTTCATGTGTTTTAATAAAATTAGTAATTAAACTTAATTTCAGCCATGGCCTTTTTTAAAAAAAAAAATGTGAGTTGAGATTACCTGGCATGCGCACAGAGGAGGTGTTATGGTCTAACAAAAGGAAAAGTTTGTAGAGCAAAGAAAAATATTCTATTAGACCAGTATATAATGTCAGAAAGACATCTTGACAAATTTTCAAATTTTCATCATCTGTTGTTACCACATTTCTGCTACAGACTTGTATTCTTCCAGTCATGGTGTTTCTCCCCTGTGCCAAACCCTACAAAAAAACCCAGCAAAACCCAACATAAAACCAACCCAAGAGAAAAAGAAAAAATGTTGCTAGTTTAAGTTATGCTGAACTCTGACTTGGAGCAGAGGGACCCATCTCTAACTGAAATAAACTAAATTTATGTAAGATCATGTTCACATATGAATTATTCCTTCCCCAGAGCTTCTCTGACTGCAGTTTGGATGTAGTGCAAAGTGAGGAATATAGTTTTCATGTTATTTACCTTTTTGATCACCAGGCAGTGCATTAATCAAATGGAGAGTGACTTGTTGGTTAGGACATCTTTGATGGCTGGGTTTTTCATTTTTCATGCAGTGACTCTAGCAAAGGAATTGATTGATGTGTTTATAATGGTAAGAGTAGGGATGATTTTAAAAAGGGGATAGGAAAAAAGACCTGTAATAGTGAAAAATGGAGAATAAAAGAAAAAGCTTCAAAATAAGGTTGTAAAACTCAGAACATAGAAGAAAAAGAAAACAGAAATATCATCTTGTAATATGCTTATGTGAAAAACAGAATTAAATAAAGTCTTACATACCAAACACATGCAATTCCAAACAGCACTGAAAAATATTCATGCTTGTCCTTACAACCATTTTGTCCCCCACTGCTGATGGAAGTGATGGTAGAATGTATATATTCAGGGATAAAAGAGGAAAGGGGGTTAGAATGTCTAATAATTTGAGAGCTTTAATGTCTGCCTAACGTGTGAGGAATAAATTTAACTTCCCACTCAGTTGTGATCAGCATACTTCCAGAAGGTTGAGATGCTTTGGTTTTTTTTAGATGTGGCCTGTAATTTTCTGGTGTATAAACAGTAGATCCAGCTCATTAGCTGGGTAGTAAAAATTGACAAGTTTGAAGCTTATTAGTGGTCGTTTCCTCCTTGTCTTCCTGAAGCTGTTCATGTTGGGAGGATAGTTTATCGCTCCTGGCCCCCTACTCAGGAGACGTATCTCCTTGCTTCTTTGCAAACTTTGTGTGTGACATGAAGGCAGAACGGCTGTCAGCAGCCTGAGTCTGGTGATGCCTCGGTTCCCTACTTGTATATGGGGAGAGTAGCGTCTCCCAGTTTCAATACATTTTAGTAAGTGTGATACTGTGTTGGTACTGAGGAAGGAGTGTTCCTCTTAACAACAAATTGGAACTAGTGACGTCCCCCCTTCAGCGTGGCCTTGCTTTGGGGAACTTGGAAGTCCTGGGAAGTTAAAAGGCAGGACTCTTCATTTCTGCAGGTGCAAACAACAAGAGGAATCACAAGAATCAGAGAGTGAAGAAGCCAGATTACAAGGTTGCCTATGTACAGCTGGTGAGTTAACATGGATGCTTGTGGGGAAAGAGGAGGGGACTGTTAACCAGCCAAGCTCGAAGTAATGTTCAGTGAATTGACCGGTTGGCTGAATATTTCTGCCAGTCCTCTAATAATGACATTTTCTTTAATACGTTCCAGAATGTATAAAGAGATTTAAATGACTTAGTCTAAAAATCAGATTCAAACAAATGGTTATTTTTCAAGTCTTGTATTAGTTTGAGGTCTGTATGTAAGTTATGTTCTGATGTCATACGGTGCTGCTGTGCCAGTGAGTTTCATGCTGACCCTGTACTCTGTGTGCTGGAAGGTTCACGATTTCTGTGGTTGATTGCTGAAATGTCCAGTAAGTGAAAGAATATATTGTAAGGGTAGGGAACTTCTTATTAAAGCTTTTTGGATTTCAGAGAAGACTAAGGCATATTCCTTGGAGAGCTTTTAGTCATGTCTAACAAGTGTGCTTTGTGGCTAAACCGGGTTTTGAAACGTATGTTGGTTGCCCAGTGGAAAAGGAGCTTCATGTTCTTATGAATTTCTTTCATAACAGGAGCATATTATAGTTTAGACTTCTCTTGGGCTTACCTGTCTCTATGTAAAAAAGAAATGAAACCAGTGACAGAAAAACCCCTCACATACCAAAATTACATTAAAGGAATGCTATTTATGGTTGTAAAACCATAAGCTTAAAATTGCTGTTGGCAACACGACCTCAGTGTTACTCCATCCTGGGACAAGGATTCAGTGTGGGGGGAACACTGTGTGATCTTAAAGGCTGCATAAGACTTCATATTGACTTGGGGTCAAACTAAAGAGGCACAGACAATGGGAAATCTGATGGTTTTTTTAATTTTTCAAAGTTTAAATGTGCTTAGAAGTTTTTTCTCTTAAGGCCCTTCTGGGAAGGGGAGTGGCAAGAAAAGTGAGGAGAGTGTTTTTCTAGACAGCCCTTACCTTTAAAAGAACAGTATAAAGTACACTGTTAATAGAAAGTAACAGAGTTGTAGTTAGATGAGGACTAATCTTGATTTACTGTGCTGAAGTTAAAGGCAACCTCATCTCCGTGAGGATTTTGTATTACGATGGCTAAAAACCACATTCCTTTCTCAAGGAAGCGTCTCTGCTTTGGTGGGCACGTTCTGCCTCCTGGATTGTCTGTGCTAGGTTTTTGTCTGCAAGAGATCAGATATGAACGATTCATTAAGAACACAGCTGAAGAACTGAATGCCAGGAGTGATGTTTTATCTTACAAGTTGCTTTCTCTGAGTGTTGTCCCTTAGTAGGTAATTGCAAGGACTTTCCATTGTCACAGCCTCTTGCTAGTGACTCCTTTGCTTTTAGAGACTCGTTTCCCAAGATTGAGGCAGACGTGGATCTTTAGTGAACTGTGGTCAGTTCTCAAATTTTATTTCACTGTATTTAATGCAGTCTTGTTTCTTTTGTCTGCCGAGTTGAGAAGGAGGTAGTTTGCAACCCATAGATACTCGGGGGAAGGAGTGGGAAGCAAAATGCTTCTGTTGTGTGGAGCAAGACACTAATTTAAGGCAGTGCCTTTGTGCATTTATTTCACATCAAACCTCTGAACCTAGAATAGTTGCCATTACCTTAAGGGCCAGCTCTGTGGTGGAGAGGAGAATTACCCAAATTAACTTGGTACTGGAGGCAGTTGGACAGCAGTAACTCTGGTCGTTCCTCCAGCCTCTCATTTTGTCTGCTGGGCAAATTAGCCAGCACAGGGCCCTGTGGTACTGCGGCTCAGGACTGCTCGTGGTACATGAGAGAGCAAGTGTCCCTTACTGCATTGCCCTATACTATAGTATCATAAGTTTTTAAAGAATGCCATGTTTTCCATCCTACCCATGAACGGGGTCAGGGGACCAGCTTTTGGTGTTGTACTTCATCCCAAGTGAGGGAATCCTGACCATTTACTGAAGTCTTGTGAGTGAAGCTTGGTCTGTGCGTTTTCACCTCACCTCGTTCCTAGTCTCTTTGCTCTCTTTTTTTCCTATTGTTGTTGGCATCTGTTAATTCCTTTAACATTTAGGTTTGCCCTTTTTTATTTTTTCTTTCTCTTTTTCCTTTTGTTCTTTGCTTTTCATCACTAGCTCTGGTGTCTCAGACAGTGAGCTTCCAGTTCGATGTTCACACCAGCTTTAAACAGTGGGTGAGGCCAGAAACCCAGTGTCATTTCTGAAACTGAAGGTTTTGCCTTCATTCTCATTCATGGTGTGATTCAGGCTATAACAGGCCCCATGCAGTCCATTGTTAATATCTGCCTAATTTAGGAAAGTCTTTGGTAACCACTGTAAAATCCTTATTTTCATGAGAATTAGTTTGCATCTGCCGTGAGTCAGAGTAGCTGGGCTTTCCCACCATTTTTACCAGCTGTGTTTCCTCTCATTAATCCAGTTTCAAGTTAAAACTGCTTATGACTGGAAAAATAAGCATGTGTTTTTGGAAGGTCTTGGGTTGATCTTTCTGTTGCCCACTAGGTGGAAGTATTGCTCTTTCCAGCATGACTTGGTAGCAGCTGTGGTGTGGTTTACCTGAATGAAATTGAGTATATTCTCATGACCAGTTGCGCTTCTCTGCTTCATAAAACATCACCTTATGTGTCCCAGCGCAACATACATATCCATTAACTTACTGCAAGTGTCTCAAAGGTGGAAGGTGTATGAAGTCATAGTCAACATACCCTTAGGTGTCAGATTAGTGCCCCAGCTGTTCCACATGTAAGAATTGTTGTCCTTTCTTTTCCAAATACTATTTCTTGGAGATTCAGAGCTGTTTACTTTATTCTCAGGCTGTAACTGGACAAATACATGATCTGTCCAAGCATAATATTTTCACACTAAAAAAATACCTCAAATCATAGAAGGCTGTGGATCAACAATATCTTGCCATTCCAGAGCCTGCCTGCCTTTTTTTCCCTTTTTGCAATGTGGTGAGAAAGGTTTAAGTTAGAGACTTATGGCTCTGGGTATCAGATGCTACTTTTTTACACTGTTTTATTTTTTTAATTAAAAACAAAGCTATATATCTTTGTGGAGTAGATAAAATGAATGTAATACAGCAACCTTTCTCATTACTCCAATACAGTTATAATTATCCTGATGTTATTAAAAAAACAAAAAAGAAGAAGACAAGAAAGCCAGTGGGAAACTTTACAGTTGCATCAACATCAGGGAAATTAAAAAAAACGAACATCCCCTCCTCCTCCTTCAGTGTTCTCACTGGTTTAGCTCAACAGGTGTTAGCACCCGTGGGAGCACAACTGTAGACAAGCCTCTGGAATCCAGACCTATTTTTAATTAAACCTGTTTTGAGAAATCTAATGGAGATGGCTGTAAAAAGGAGTCTGACCTTGTCAACATTAGGACTAACACCTATTTAGCTGCATGAATGATGGCACCGGTGGGAACATTTTTGCAAATACTTTCTCCTCAAACTCTGTTTAGGGTGTCTGGTACATTCATAGTAATTAATCCATTTACATATCAGATGTGACAGCAGTTTTGTTTTGACATGTAGCAAATTCAGAGGAAACTTGAATGCTCTGTACGCTGGGTCGTTCCTGTATGGATTTTTGAAGTTGCTTTCCGTGCTGTTTTGTCATACGTTTTAACATCAGATGTTACCACTGCAATAGTAGGAGAATTGTTCAAATGCACTAGATTATTAAATTTAGTTGCATTTGCTGCTACTGCTGGACCGAATCCCATGCTGTTGGGAGTCCAACATTTTTTTTAGTTAACGATACTATAAACATCACTTTTCTCCTAATTCTGAAGGACAGTAGTAAGTGCTTCAATTAACTAAATAATCAGAAGATCTCACAGTTGTTTACATGATCAGTGTTTGCTGCGTCATTCCTACATAATGATATCTGTGCTGACCTTCCATTCCTAAACTTTTCAACGGACACAAAGGTCAGAGAAGTATAAGTGAGTTTGTGCTGGATAATCCTTCCAGCAATTTTCTGACATGAGGCTCAGCAGTGGAAAGGCTAACACTTGACTTCATAGGCCTAATTATGACCACTTAACCTCTCATTAAAATGAATGGAGGCAATTTGTACTGCTCGATGTGATACCTCCTCCTACAACCTCAGAGAACAAGGTGTGTTTTCAGCCTTTCTAACGAAAAAGGCTTGAAATTTAAGGGGAAAATACATGTTTGATGCTTAGGTCACTTTTTGTCTTGAAGGATGTTAGCATTTAACGAATCCTTATAAGACCTTGTATATAAATCAGTTTTACATTTGGGTAATGCTGAAGTGAGGATTAGAGTTGTGCAGGAATAGAAGTTTAATGGCTCCCATTTCTGTAATCTAAACACTGGACCACACATCTCACTTCTACATAATCTCAGAATTTGTAGGAAAAAGGGAGGTCTCTGGGAAGACCCTAAATTGAGAATAGCAATGCATAAACTCATCACGTTGCCTTTATTTTTTAGGTGTTTTAATACCGCCTCTCCAACTTGGTTTATTTGTTTTTTTCTTCTTTTTTTTTTTTTAAAATTATAACAGCTCACTTAGCTATAAGAGTGTGTGGTGGTACAGCTTATCCTGACAAACTCCAGAGTATCAGTGTATCACCTCACATTGGTGCAAAAGTTCTTTTGCTGGCAGTGCAGCATCCAGTTCCAAGACAGACCAAATTATCCGAGCAAATTTTTTTTTTTGGCAGTGTCTTTCTTTTTTACAGGATTTTCTTTTAGCACAGCTAGGTCAGGTAGGAAGGTGTTCTTTTCTCCCTCTTTCTCTGTGCTTCTAAGGTAATTATGCTGGCAGAAGTTCTAAAGGAGGACCAAGCCCTAGGCTTTTTAGAGCCCAATTGCAGCTCATGTGAATTTCAGTAATTCAGTAATTAAAAGAATGACCTTGGTTAAATGGCTTGCAAAAGTGAAATAGTGAACAAATGCAAGGTTTAGGAATAAGCCAAAATTTTGCTTTCTGGTTTCGTATGCCAGCTTTTCATGTTCTAGCAGTTTGCAAGCCAGATAAAACCCTGTTGAACTTGGTAGCAATTTAGTTGTTTGCTTTGTTTCAGTTAGGATTTAATTCTGAGGGTGCATTTATCATATGGTTGTTAAATGGTTGCTGTATAGAGGGGAAAACTTCTACAAAGAAAAAGCGTAAGAAAAAGCAGCACTGCATAAAGGAATGACGATCCCTCCATTCCTTTGGTAGGCATTTTTTTGAGAAGGTGGCATATGAGCTTGAACCTCAGTAGCCTCTGGCATCGTATGGAAGATGCACTGAATGTAAATATGCCTGGACAGACTTAAAATTCTTTATGTAAGTTGATGCCTTTTGGTATTTTTGAAATTTTGAAATACCCAAGATACAGGCTTCTTCTGAAAACTAGCTACTGAGCATGCACAACAGCTATTTTTCATACAGCTTTCATCACTTCAGAGTCTTACAGTGCAGTGTTACTGCATAGTATTGTTACTTAAGATTTATCAACCTTCAGTTCTCAGGGTGTAATGTCTTGGCTGTTTCGAATCATGTCTGGCTGCCAGCCAAAATCAGAATTTCTTCACAAAACAAGAGCTGGAAAGAGCCAACTTGTCTGTGCTGATTTTGATTTATTAAAAGACTCCAGATACAGATTGACATTTTCAGCTCAATATTTGACTTTCACCAGCCTGGAAATGGGAACTGTGAGCACTTTGATAAACAGCTGAAAGGTTTGTCTGGTTTCGCTACAGCCTCTGTGCATATCTTTTTTTGGTTTTTTCCCCTCTTTTTAAAATAGTAACTGTTTTGCAATGCTTAGTGAATTACCATGGATGTTGTTAGTATGCTTTAGGGACAGCTTTCCTTCATTCTCCAATAAGGGAAGTGCATTGGTGCTGGAAGCATACCAGAATGGAAGTGCTGCATAACAAGAACAGTCCCTTACTACACTGTTACCAATATAAATAGTTCTCAAATTTTCAGTGTAGGTGGTATGCCTACCATGTTAGTCTGAATTGTTTTCTTACTTGTTTAACTAAAATGGCTTCCTCTCCAGGGCAGATGAGTCCTTAGAATCGTCCCTATCTGTTCTATAGGTACCACAGGGATGAGTGACCCGCCCACAGTGCAGTTAAAACACAGTAATTTTTTGTAATATAAACAAATTCTTTTCCAAATGCTTCAGTGTGCTAAAATCTTGGGCAGCGCTTGGCCTCAAGGGTGCTTGCTGCTGATTGTACTACAGGAAGAGTTTCAGTAGGCTACAGCTTTGAGATTGCTCAAGGACATTGATAAGGCCAGTTCCTGTGCCTTGAAATGGGACTATGCTTTAATTGTCATAGGACAGCTATTACAAGCATACCTGTTGGTAATTTAAAGGTACAAAAGAGTTGAAACCCCAGAGTGTACACCGTGGAAAGGAAAACCTTGATTTGTTCCAGTTGATCTTATCCAGGCTAGAATCGAGGACAGAGCAATGTACACAGCAGCTCCCTTGTTGTTTTTGTAGTATGGTCAGGCTCTTAGGAAACCCCCAAGAAGTATGCACTACAAAAACAACCAGAGCATTGCTGGGTATGAGTTGATATTTCCTAGATTCTAGTCTGGATAAGCTCAACTGGGATAAGTCATGTTTTTTCTTTCCAAAGTGTATGCTTGAGGTTTAAATTCTTTCACACCTGTAAATTACCAGGTTGAGTGTATATGGCTAAACGAAACATAGCACACATTCAGCTGGGTCAGGGGCATGGTGACGTTTTTTTTTGATTTAATTATATCACATTTCTGATCCCAGAAATGTAGTATAGGTAGCTGTGTTGTGGAAGGCTCCTTTCATGTCCTTTGTGGAACCATTTCATAACTGTGCCTCTTGTTTGATTATATTTATTGCACAAATGTGAAGAATGGCTAATCTGAAAAAATCCTTGTTTTCATCTGAAGCAATTAAATGCTATTGTTGAGATTTCCGTATGCGGTATTCTGCCAAAGAAGTTAATGTATGGTAAGGTTTGTAAGTATTTTGGAGAGTAATTTTAGAGTTATGAGCTATCAGTTATGAGTTTTATTATGCAAAGTCCCATATAGAATGGAAGGGCTGATATTGTTGAGTTTAATGAAGCTGTTCTTAGTGCAAACACCACTAAAAAGTAAGTAGATAATGTTAATGGGATAGAACATTTCCACAGAATAATGGTTTCCTGCTGTTAGATAAAAACCAGAGACCAACCAAATATTTATTTTCCAAGTGGGAGACATAGATCTGATGGTGATGTTTCACTAAAATGACTTGCCTGTTAGGCAGAATGACTGATGCAGATGTAATCACTTTAATCTCATCAGTGATGTATTAGACAGATTGTTCCCACTGTAATTGTTTAACATTATAGTCCTTATTCCTGGTGATAAGAGACCTCTGATATCTGTTATTCCATATTCCCACATTATACCCTACAGTAGCAGCTGCTAGGACTGTTCTTTCTTATCCTTAGCTGAGATCTAAACAACTATAACCGCTACCCATATCCTGAGTGTTAACATAATGAATGCCTGCTCCACCATGTATTTCCCCAATGGCATTACTTTAACAAAATCACTTATTTTGCTCATCTTGCATTTACTGTGTGACTCATACAACATCTCTGAGCTGGTTCAAAGTCTTTGAAGAGGTGTCCATGTCCTGACCATTCATCTGTAAAAAAAGATGTCAGTGTCTTAATTAGCACACAAAAGAGGAGAGGCTGAAAGTTAGCTTTTTTGGGTGGGAGGGATATATGTGTATCTTGGGGAGACGGGTGGAAAGAGATCTTGGGAGGATTTTGCACTAGCTGAAACTTCAGGGTGGTCTTTCATTGTAAGTATATGCATCATAGCTACTGCAGAAAGGCTGGAATGTCTCTCTGACCATTTGTTTTCTCTTTAGGGCCAAGGACAAACCTTTCAGTTTCCCAACCTATTTCCAGAGAAAGAACAAGACTCAGAAACTCGCTCTTTTGATGACTTCAAGAATAAATATATGGAAAGAGAGAAGCAGAGGCAGAAAGGTGACCCCAGACGAGGTGGAGTCCCCGATTGGTTTGGACTTTGATGCAACAAGCCAGCTGCCTTTCTTTAGGCTCAGAGGGATTTTGATCAGCAGAACTTGCACTCTTCCCTTCTTGTAATGACCGAATGTTTATTCTTGAGCAGCTCTTGCTAGTGTGTCTTTTTTCCTGGCTGTTTGTGCACGACTACAACAAAATGGCCCTAAAGAAATAAAAAGGTAAAATAAATCTGACTGCATCAGGTCTTTCCTGTGAACTTGTGGGCTATTTCTAAAATGTGGAATTGCTTGTTGTTGTTTCCGACTATGAAAGTGTCATTGTGCTTACCTTATTCCTGCTTCTATGGGTTGTTCTGAGTAGAAGCAGGAGGCATTTCATTTCCCAGGATAAGTGTAGTTTGCATTGAATAGAATGTGTAAAAGTCAAGATCGGTCAGTCAGAGGCAGACATGAAGGTGTAGATCACTAGACTATAGGCTCAGGACATAGGGTTGCCTTATTGTCAGTTATGGTGTCCTACTATCCTGTGAATTGCCTTCCTTGCAAAGTGACCCCCCTTTCCTGGAGATGTGCATGTAATCTGGTTGCACTCCTTTGTTAACTGTTGTGTGGCATTTTAGAGACACGGTTTATTGGATAGGCTCATGGCCGGGCACGTGTGCGTTCGATCCCCAGAAGCGTCAAGGAACGGACAGAGGTGGTGCACAGTCTCTGCTTGCTGTTGTGCAGTGCAGGTAGTTGCCTTCTGTGGCCAGCCTGCCCTAGGAATGTTGACTGGCACGGCTGTGCTAGTATTCCTTCCCCTGTCCGCAGCTACCTTGCGGTGCTGGCAAGAGTCCTGTGTGGACACAGTTGTACTGGCATAGAAATGCTTCTGCCAGTGTAGGCTGTTTTGCGCTCAGGACTAATAAAAAGACTCTTTCTACTTTTTCTGGTGCAACTCCCTTTACTTCCAAGTTGCTGATGCCAGGGCAGTGGTACAACTTTTCTAGGCCTTCAGGGCTGCCACGTTCAGGTTTTTCATTTCTTGGCTCTGCAGCTGTTTCTCCTTGCTTTGATGAGGATATTTCCTCTTTTCCTTTGTCAAGTAATGTGCTCTGCTGGTGTGTCAGAGACAGTGGGGGAAAAGGAGGACCAGGAAGGACTTCACCACAGACAGAGAAGGATGTGTTTCTGCAGGCCGTTGGCTGTAACACCAGCATGTGCAGGGTTAAACGTATGGCTGACATTTCCCTGGCTTTTGAATTCTGCCACTTGGAGCAATTGGCAGGGTAGTGAATGAGCCCATGCCTTGCACGCTTCTACCCGGGTGCTCTCCTTTATTGTTCTGTGTCTGAACTTCTTGTTTGGACAGCTAGCAAGATGTTTACAAGGAAACAGCTGTTCCCCAGAGAGGCAATCCAAGTAGGATTTTACGCACCCCCTTCTGTTCATTAGTCACCTCTTTCCCCCTGCTACTTCCCTTCTGCATGACAGTCCATCTCCTTCTGTGGTTTGTTGCTTACAACCCCGGTGACTCTCCCACCCCCCTCTTTGTCCATTTTCCAAGGGGGATTGTGCATGGTGATCTAAGTTAGCTGGTGCTTAAACAGAGAGATGCTCTCAGAGAGGAGGGAGATAAGGGAGGATTTGCTACTCCCAGCCTGCCAGCAGAGTTACAATAGTAGATGTGGAAAAATACTGAGTTCACTGAAAACAGTTCTTACGTTTGGCATATCTGCAAAGCCAACACTTCCAGAGTTTTGTAGTGACATGTGAAACTCCAGGTTAAATCAGGAGCTGGCCTGCAGTTTTAAAGTAGGACGACTGAATTTGTCTAGATGCAAGGGTCTCTCCTCTGCTGTACACAGCCTCCCCACCGCCCCCTCCTTTTTTTAATGTATTTTTTTAAAGAGGCTGTTTCTCAAACTCCCAGCTCAGTGTGGAGCTGATCCATATTAGGGTTGGGGCTTTGTTCCTACAGTATAATGTTATGGAGTTTGCTATTTTTTCTTCACTTTCCTTTGTGGTCACCTCCAATATAGGTAACTCCGTCTTCTTCACCATGGTGAAGATAAAAGAATTCATCTAGTGCTGCCATATATCTTCCTGACTGGTTGGTCAGCCTTGAGCAAGCAAACAGTCAGGTATGTGATAGTTCTGGATAAATGAGGCTGTATTCCATGTGTTAGGTGTAACAGCAAGAGATATATTAACCATCAGCCTCTCTGCCTTCCCTGTTATGGTCCTCAGGAGAGGTTGGAGTCACCAGCTTCTGTACTGGCATTGAGGACCCAAGCTGAGAGGAGTTTATTTGCAGTCCCAAATATGCTATAGGCTGAGTGAGTATCAAAAGCCCCTGGGTAGGTCTACCATGCTTTGCTACTCTGTGATTTCTCTGTGGGTCATTTATTTCTAGCTCACGTTCAAGCCAGGTTTCTGTCTGGAGTGGCACAAAAGGGAAGAAATAGAGAGATGAGTATACCTGTATCTATATGAAGTTGCTGCAACCAAATTCTGGCAGATACTCAGGCTGCTTAAGAGAGCAACGTTACCAGCTATCCCTAAAATAGTATTCCTGTGAAATTAAGATTAAAAAAAGAAGATGCAAAGCCCCTGACCCACCATTATTTTGGTTTAATGCTCCTGACTGCCATGGAAGTGGGATTAAAAAGATGTCAAGTCTTTCCCAGTCCCTTGTCGGCCAGTGTTTCTGAGGAAGTGCCGGTGCTTAATATGATCTGGTGCTTCACAAATCCCATGCCCTGAACTGTACAGGCTAGAAGATAACAGAGATGATGCTTGAATATGAGGGCAGAGATTATAACACGTACCAGAAAGAAGTACAGCAAATGAGTGGTGAAACTAGGACAAGGACTCAAAGTTATGTAGTTTTGCTCACTAAACTGTGCTCCTTCCAGCACATCCTGATGTTTACTTTGGGTGATGCAAGGGATTGGCAGATTCCATGAGGTCACATCTAACCCTTCTATCAGAGGTGTCGAGCTGTCCTTGGCTATGTCATCAACCATACCTGTGGGCCAAGGATGTGGATATACGTGTGAATAACTTCTCCAAGGACAAAAGTAATGACTTGGTTGAGGAGGCTGATGTTCGGGTTGAGGAGGCTGATGTTCGCTGTGGTGCAGGAGAAGCCACGTCGCGCACTTGGCGTGCACAGCTCTGCAGCTGCTGTCTTCTCTGACGTGCAAGGGAGACATTGAACGCAGTTTCTTTCCCCTCTGAACGTGTGCAACCCCCCAAAGAGAGTAATGTGCTGGAACAGTCAGTGGATGCGCAATTGACTGCGTCGGCCGCTCTGGTGGAGAAAGGCATCCGGCTATGATGAGCTTTGTCCCAGCAACACCAGTACACTTCAGAGGGAATGCACAGTTGCTTTTTTGTTTGCTCATGTATTATTATTTTTTAAAACAAGCCAGAATAGAATTGCAGAGGCAGTGAAGTGACTATGTACAGTGGCTTTCCTAACATTACAGCTTTGAAATGAGTTTTGTGCTGTAAGTCCTGCTCGGTTCAGTGCTAAGAACAGGTTCCTTGTTGGTTGAAGTGGATCACATAAGAATGTGTGGGTGTCTGCAGGTGACAAAATTACTGTGTCTTGTAACCACTTGTCACCTGGACTTTGCTGCGTGACCTCAGAAAGTGCAAATGTTTGTCTTCACAGTTGCCTTGAAGTAGGAAGGCATATAGTGCAGCTCAGGTGGTAAGTGGTTAGACACAAACCTGCAGTAGCTTCATCTTCTGTGTTTAAGCCACACTATGTGAAAGATTAAGTATTGCCTGCAGATCAGTGGCCAGTTTTACGGTCCTGTGCATCATTTTTTGTTTGTCGGTCTACTGGTGGTTAAGAGAAGAAAAAAAGCTAAATAAAATAAATGATAGGAAAGAAGTAAGTACAACCTTGTGGTGGATTCCAGAAAAGGCATATTGTGATCCATTTCGCAAATATTCCTGCTCTGTGCAAAGGAAAGCCAGTAGGAAAATTTTGCTTACTCTATCCGAGGCCATCTTGCTATGGAAAATGTCTTCATGGCTGGGGAGTTCCCCATCCATAGGGCAGATTATTTCTTCTTCAGCTCTGCCGTGTTTGTGGAACAGCTCGCAGAGACCGGTAAGGGTTGGATAGAGGATGTCTGCCTAGTGTGTGAAACAGGGCAAGGTCCACAAAGCAAGCACTATTTTTGCTAGGAGGACTGAAAGCTGTAAAACCGTTATCTTGACAATGCTGCTTTCTCCTGAAGTAGAGTTCAAGGACTGCTCAGAGTCCAATTTAAAACAGTTGTCTGAGAATGGCTTTCCAGGGCAGTTTACACGCCAAGGCTCATAGGTACCACAGCTAAAAAGGAGCGTTGTGATAATCCCTTTTGACCTCCTGAATAACACAGACCATAAAATTTCATGCCGTAGTTTCTGTGCGTAGTCCAGAAGCTTGTGGTTGAATGTTACCTGGAATGGATTTCAAGGCTTGAACTTGACAAGCGTTGCAGGACGAAGTAAGTTTCCTTGAATAAGCTGGGCCCAAACAGCGTGAAGGTCAGCAACGCGTTGTCATCTGTCCTGTGAATTTCTTAAAGTCGTTGTAATGGGGAAAACCGAGCATTGCTGTTTAGGAATCATGTGTTTGTAGAGAAGAGAGGTAATTTTTATAAATATTATTTTCTTTAAATGCAAAAGGTTTTAGACTAGCTAAGATGACATCCTGGCTGAGCCATTTCTTCTAGAGTGATTTATGACTGTTAGACAGAATTTAGCTCTTTGTGTATAGTATGGCTTATCAAAGTGTGCGCTGCTGTTGTGGACACACCCAGCTTGCAGAATTCAGGAAATATTCCAGTCACTTACTCTGTGGCCTAAGAACACAGTAACTAGGGCCTGGTGCAAAACTAATTGTTTTTAATTACAAACCAGGACTAATTATCAGTCCCTTAACGTTTCCAGCCTTCAGCTGTTAGTAAATGTTGCAAATGAGAAGTGATTAAAATTTTGGAGCATTTCTGCAGTGCAGAATTAGGCACTGCATTTTTTTTCCCATGGTGACTGGGACTTCAGAAAGCATCTCGAGACCACACATGGTATTCTAGGTAGGTAGGTCTTGCTTGGGATCCGGCCCTCAGTTAGTGCTATCTACATTTCATTTTCCAAAGTTCTTGGTTTAGGAGTCAGACCAATGTCAGTGATTCAAGGCTTGGAAAACTTCCTTTCCTAAAAAAAGGCTTGGGAAACTCCCTC